TTTTTTTAGGAGATGAGATCTCACTGTGTTGCTCAGGCTAGAGATTACTTTTTCAAAGAAAGCTTGTCAGTACAAGCCTTGAAGTCAGTGCAGGTTAGAAAACAGTATTTTCAGGATTTATTCCCCTTATGAGGACAATGCAATCAGAAGTTAGGAGAGGCAGAGGGGACGATTCTTACGTACAAACAATGGTTTTTGAATATAGTTGATTGGCTGGGCGCAGTGGCTAACACCTGTAATCCCAGCACTTTGGGAGGCCAAGGCAGGCAGATCACTTGAGCTCAGGAGTTTGAGACCAGCCTGCCCAATGTGGTGAAACCTTGTCTCTACTAAGAAAAGTGAAGATTAGCACGGTGTGGTGGCACATGCCTATAGTCCCAGCTACTCAGGAGGCTGAGTCGGAATCACTTGAACCTGTTAGGCAGAGGCTGCAGTGAACCAAGATTACACCACTGCACTCTGGCCTGGGTGACAGAGTGAGACCCTGTCTAAAAACAAAAATACAGTTTTATTAAAGAGGAATAGTGACTCACACCTATAATCTCAACACTTTGGAAGGCCAAGGCAGGAATCTCTTGAGCCCAGGGGTTCGAGACCAGCCTAGGCAACTGCCACATCCAATCATAGCCCTCCACTGCCCCACTAACTTTTTTTTCAATAATCATTTTTATTGTATAAATACAGAGAAGAATGCCCAAATCCTAATAAGATTTGTCAAAACCTTGTGTTTTGACAAATATAGCCAACACCCAAATAAAGATCCATGATGTTTCTATAACCCCAAAGGAGCACCTTTTTGTAGTCAGTACCTCTCTGCCTCACCCTGCACCCCACAAAAAACAGTAAACACTGATCTACCACCTGTTAACAGAGTAGTTTTGTCTGTTCTTTAACTTCATATAAATAGATTCATGCAGTACATACATACTTGTGTCTGGCTCCTTTTGCTCAACATAAATTGAGCCTCATCCATTTGTCATGAATATCAGTACGTTGTTGGTTTCTCCTGCTGAGAGGTATTCTGTGTGAGTATGCAACAGTCCGTCCACTTTCCTGCTGAAGGACCTACGGTTTGCTTTCCATTTTTGGCTATTACGAATAAAGCTGCTATAAACATTTGTGTGCAGGTTTGTGTGCGTAAATCACTTTTCAGACCAGTTGTGTAAAAACCTAGGAGTGTGATTGCTGGGTTGTAAGGTGAGAAACTATTTCGTTTTGTAAGGAACTGCCAAACTGTCCTCTAATATGGCTGTATCATTTCACATTGCAACCAGCAATGAATGAGAGTTCCTGGATTTGGTGGTGTTGGTGTGTTTTGGATTTTAGTCTTTCTAATAGGTATGTAGTGGTATTTCATTTTCATTTGCAATTCCTTGGTGATACATGATGTGGAGCATTTTCTTATGTTCATTTGCCGCCTTTAGTATCCTCTCAGGTGAAATATCTATTCACGTCTTCACCTTTTTTTTTTTTTTTTTTTCAGAGACGGAGCCAGGCTGGAGTGCAGTGGCTTGATCTCAGCTCATTGCAACCTCTGCCTCCTAGGTTCAAACAGTTTTCCTGCCTCAGCCTCCCAAATAGCTGGGCCTACAGGCACACGCCACCATGGCCAGCTAATTTTTTTGTATTTTTAGTAGAGATGGGGTTTCACCATGTTGGTCAGGATGGTCTCGATCTCCTGACCTCATGATCCGCCCACCGTGGCCTCCGAAAGTGCTGGGATTACAGGCCTGAGCCACCGCGCCTAGCCTTTTTTTCTAAAATTGAGACAGGGTCTCGTTCTGCTGCCCAGACTGGAGTGCAGTAGCGTGATCACAGGTCACTGTAACCTCAACCTCCCAGGCACAAGCAATCCTCACACCTCAGTTTCCAGAGTAGCTGAGACTTCAGGCATGCGCCACCACACCCAGCTGATTTTTGTATTTTTTGTAGAGATGGGTTCTCATGTTGCCCAAGCTGATCTCAAACTCATGGGCTCAAGGAATCTCCTACCTCAGCCTCTCAGCCTCCCAAAGCGCTGGGCTTGTGGCAGTATGCCTGGCCAGTAGTACTTTTTGAAGAGCAGATGTTTTTAATTTTAATAAAGTACAACTTTTTAATTTTTTTTCATGAATTGTGCTTTGGACATTATAGCTAAAGATACTGTTAAACCCAAGGCACCTAGATTTTTTCCTGTTTTTTAAGAATTTTATAGTTTTGTGTTTTACATTTAGGTATATGACCCATTTTGAGTTGATTTTTATGAAAAATGTAAGGTCAAGTTTTTTTTGTTTTTGTTTTTGAGACAGGGTCTCACTTTCTCACCCAGGCTGGAGTGCAGTGGCATGATCATGGTTCACTGCAGCCTCAACCTCCTGGACCCAAGCCATCCTGCCACCTCAGCCTCCAAAGTGTCTGGGACTACAGGCACATGCCATCATGACCAGCTAATTTTTGTATTTTTTGTAAAGATGGCGTTTCACCGTGTCATCCAGGCTGGTCCTGAACTGAGCTCAAACAATCCGTCCTCTGCCTCCCAAAGTGTTGGGATTACAGGCGTGAGCCACTGCGCCCAGCCAGGGTTTTTGTGTTTTGTTTTGTCTTATGAACATCCAGCTGTGTTCCAGCACCACTGAATTGCCTTTGCTCCCTTGTCAGAGATCAATTGACTATTTGTTGGATTTTCTCTTCTGTTCTACTGATCCACTTTCTTGATGAATAGCACTCTATTTTGATGAGCGTAGTTTTATAGTAAGTCCTAAAGTTGGGCAGTGTCAGCTCTTCATCTTCGTTCTTCATTCTTGTTTTGGCTATTAGGGTCTTTTGTCTTTCCCTATAAATTATTGACTCTGTTGATATCTACAAAATAGTTTGCTGAGACTTTGATTAGCATTATGTAGACTTTATAGGTAAGTTGGAAATGATTGATAACAGTGTTGTGTGTTCTAACTCACAAATATGAACTATCCCTTTATCTATATCTTTGATTTACTAGAGTTTTGTAGTTTTCCTCATATTATATCCTATACATATTTCATTAAGATTTGTAAGTGTTTAGCCAGGCTCAGTGGCTCACGCCTGTAATCCCAGCACTTTGGGAGGCTGAGGTGGGTGGATCACCTGAGGTCGAGAGTTCAAGACCAGCCTGACCAACATGGAGAAACCCCCGTCTCTACTAAAAATCAAAAATAGCTAGGTGTGGTGGCGCACACCTATAATCCCAACTATTTGGGAGGCTGAGGCAGGAGAATCACTTGAACCTGGGAGGCGGAGGTTGCAGTGAGCCGAGATTGGGCCGTTACACTTCAGCCTGCGCAAAACCAGTTAAACTGCATCTCAAAAAAGAAAAAAAAAAAAAAAAGATTTGTAAGCGTTTGATTTTTTGGTACTATTGTAAATGGCACTGTTTTTAATTTCAAAATCCAGTTGTTACCTGGTGGTACATAGAAAAAGCAATTGGCATTTCTATGTTATTAACCTTGGGTACTACATGTTTTAAT